GAGCTAATGTGAGGTTTCCAGAACCTTGGCTCCAGGCAGCCTTTGAACCTCATTACGTCTCCTCCTGTGTTTCTCTTTAAGCCACAAGTCCCTTTTCCTGTTGCCTTCACTAGCTGCCTCTTGTGTGGTAAGCCTTCAGGAATGCTTTTTACCAGAGTGGAGTGTGGCTGTAGAGTCACTGGCCAGAACCCCCTCCAGGGAGCCAGGGCGGGGTCCCTTGGCTCCCCAAGGGAGGGAGTCCCCACCCAACCTTCAGTCCACAGACTGGTTTTCCTAATCAGCACACTGTCCAGGCAGTGCCAGGATTCTGACCTAGAGGAAGTCGCTAAAGCAAACAGGAAACCCGAGAGACACTCATCAGCTGGAATGGTTCACCCTTTACCAGGAAGGACAAAAAGTGTGTAGGGGTGACTTCATGGACTCAAGGAGAGCCAGGTGAACGCTGCTCAGGGAGCTTGAAGGAGAAGGAGATGCTCAGCGGCCTCTGGAGTCCGGAAAAGTCTTCTGTAGCAGGTGCTGCCCACCACCTGCAGGCTTCCCCTACCCCCACCCTGTCCACCGCACCAGCCCGGTGCCTTTCTGTCTCAGCTCCTTCCCTTTCCCCCTTCCTTCCTGTACCAACCATCACGTTCCTACTTTGATGGGCTGCTTGTAGTCACTCAAAGAACTTGTTTTTAAAATAGAGTCTGAGATTCCCCCGTGGAGATTCCCAGGGTTATTTTTTCCAAATACCCCAAGGAAAACAGTTTGCGAGCCACCGACCTGCTGTGGCGTCCAGTGCACAGGAAGCCCCAGAGTGAGGAGGAGTCAGCCCTACTTTTTCTTTCTCTTTCCTTCCCTACCCCCGACAGCTCTAGAACGGCCTGTGCTCAGGGCTGGGGTGTTTGGAACCTTGGGTGCCTTCTGCCCTTGGTGTACACTGTGGGAAAAGGTGCAGCGAATTTGGAGGACTTTGTGTTCCCTCCTCCATGCTGTGGGCGGTGTGGGGTGGCAGCCTGTCTCCGTGTCCTCTGGACAAGCCAGGGTTCTGGTTTGCGGGGTGGGGAGTGGGTGATGATAAGGCATCTCTTGGCTGGGTCTGAAGTCCTACCCCTGCCATTATTCTGGTATCTCACAGGCTATTTTTTAACTTTGGCTCTTAAAACAGGATTTGATTGTTGACTCAAAACAGACTTTTACCTTAACACTGGTGGTTTGTAAACCCCCATCCTGGGCTGCATGGTGGGTAATTTTGACTACTGGCTCACGAAGAAAGATTTCTGTCCCGGATGGTTGGACAGCTCAGTGCGAAAATCCACCTGTGCTTCCTGCCAGGGGATGCACTTTATTTCCCAGTCTCAGAAGGAGGGGACGGCAGCTTCTGGGGCCCCTGAGTCTGGCCTTCACCTGCCCTAGACAGCGCTATGTGCCTCAGCAAACTTTGAGGACAAAATTGGCTTTTTCTGCACTTTAGGATCACATGATCTTTAAATGGGCCAGGACAACCATGAGGCACCTGACTGTAAAAAGTGCTGTGTGTGCCTGCTCAGGTGTCTGTGGAGGGCAGGGCCGCTCAGCAGGCAGGACACGTCACCAGCCAGTCTAGGCTGGGTAGAGCCTGTCTCAGTTCACCAGGGGAGGCCAGTGTTCACCAGCAGTCTTAGGAAAGATATAATAATAAATAATGACATCAGTACCATGGCGTGCTGTTTATTCAGCAGTTACCTGTGCCAGGCACGTGCGGGCACTGTCTTGCACCTAGCATGCCCCACCCAAGTGCTGAGACCACTAATGTGGATTCTCTGAAGTTTCCTGGAAGTGACAGGAGAGGGTTCCTTGGCGCCTAAAGCCGGTGCCTGTGCTAGGCTCTTTGCCAGCTGCTGTTGCCCTGCAGACACTGGGTCCTGCTCCGGAGCAACGTGGCCCTCCAGGAGCCGGCTGTGTGGGGGACTGATGTGCAGACAAGGTTGAGAGCAGCTGTGTAGGATGTGTTTGTCCCCCTGCAGGTTTGGAGAGTCGCTGGTTGGTAGGGAGGGGCTTTAGGTGGGCTGTCTGTATTCCCCCACTTGTCTGTGCTGGCTGCTCTGCAGCTGCTCTGGCTTTCCGAAATCAGGGACTTGGGTTTCTGTTCCCCTCTCTCTGCTCCTTCGCACCTCATCCTTCAGTGTCCCAGCCAAGAGTCTGTGTTATGTGGACTCGTGGTGCTAGCCCATTTGAGGGTCCGTTGTGATTTTCTTCCCTCTGCTGCTGTCGCCCTGCCTGGCCCCAGGAGTGGGAGAACAGGGAGCAGGGCTCCTCCCACTGCTGGGAGTCCTGGGGACTGTAGTATCACTGTGACTGTTACCAGGGCCAGAGGATGGCATGATCACCAGTGGGCCTGAACAGGTGGGCAGCTCAGGTCTGCAGCCAGACTGTCACCAAATGCTGGGGGGCCTTGAGCAAGGCATTGAATGCCTGAGTGTCAAGTTGACCTGAAAAGCGGGAGGTTTTAAAGTTAAGGGAGGTGACAGTTGCGCAGCAGCACGGTAAATGCTAGCTGTCTTCAAGGTTGCCTTATTGCAGCAGAGTTGAGCTGCTATGTGAGGAAGCCATCCAGGCGAGGAGAACGGGCACACTTGCCTCCCGCGGGCGGGGAAGGGAGAGAGCATCTTAGATCGAACAGCGATTAAATGCCATTTCTGGTCACCGAGAGCTCTCCCTCCCCTGCTTCCTTCCTTGAGCTTTTGGGGAAGAGGGCGCCCTCACGGCAAACCCCCTTTCCTTTGGTGCTATCCAGAAAGGAAATGGCTGTCCCTGGTTAGTGAATCAGTCTTCCTGAAGCTCACTTTTTAAACAAGCTGCTCTGAGAATTTGGATGTGGCAAGTGATTTGAGGTTGAATTATCAAGCCCTTTGCCGTCAGCATCTTTATGTACGTAGGCTGCTGGCTTTCCACAGACAGCTTCTGTCCATTCACAGCCCTGCCCCTTGGCCTCTGCGCAGGGCCAGCTCCGGGCTGGCGGGTTCTTCTCCGAGGACCTGTCCTGCATAGGCCAAGTCGGGCAGAGACACCCGCGCTCTCGGGGTGGGTGCGAATGGCCAGGTTGGAGTTTGTCTCCACTTTCCCCCACTCACTGCCCTGGAATTCTCTTTTTTTTTTTTTTTTTGAAGATTTATTTATTTTTATTGAAAAGTCAGATATATAGAGAGGAGGAAAGACCGAGAGGAAAATGTTCTGTCTGTCGATTCACTCCCCAAGTGGCCAGGAGCCTCCTCCAGGTCTCCAACACGGGTGCAGGGTCCCAAGGCATTTGGGCCGTCCTTGACTGCTTTCCAAGGCCATAAGCAGGGAGCTGGATGGGAAGTGGGGCAGCTGGGATTAGAACCGGCGCCCATATGGGATCCCAATGCGTGCAAGGTGAGGTCTTTAACAGCTAGGCTACTGTGCCGCCCCCCCCCCTTTTTCTCTTGTAACTAAAATGTTTTATAAGATTTATTTATTTATTTGCAAATCATAGTGAGATCTTCCATTTCCTCCCCAGATGACCACAATGCAAGGGCTGGACCAGACGAAAGCTGGGAACCAAGAGCTCCTTCTAGGTTTCTGATGTGGCTACAGGAGCCCAAGCTTTTGGGCCTTCTTCCACTGATTTCTCAGGCACATTAACCAGGATCTGGATTGAATGTATACCAGCTGTGGGCCCTGCATGATAATGTGGCGGTTAAAGTCCCTGCCTTGAACGCCCCAGGATCCCATGTGGGTGCCAGTTCTAATCCTAGCAGCCCTGCTTCCCATTCAGCTCCCTGCTTGTGGCCTGGCAAAGTAGTCGAGGGTGGCCCAAAGCCTTGGGACCCTGTACCCGCATGGGAGACCTGGAAGAAGCTCCTGGCTTCTGGATTTCTGGCTTTCAGATTGGCTCAGCTCTGGCCATTGCGACTACTTGGAGACTAAATCATCGGACGGAGGATCTTTCTGTCTGTCTCTCCTCCTCTTTGTGTATCTGACTTTCCAAAAAAAAAAAAAAAAAATATTTAAAAGAAAGAAAGTATATAAACTGCAACTCAGCCAGCACCCATTTTATGAAGTGCCAGCCATGCAGGCAGCAGCTTAACACACTATGCTTTAATGTTGGTCTTTCCTAAATTGTTTTTGACTTATCTGAGAGGCCGAGAGAGACAGCAAGATGTCTCATCCACTGGTTAACTTCTCAGATACCTGCAAGGGCCAGGGAGTGGAAACTTCCCAGGCACTCTGACCCAGGACACAGGGGCATCCCAGCTTGGGCTAACCATTCGCCCCTTCCCCTGGTTCTGTCTTGGCGTCACCACCTTCCTATGTCAGTGTAGGCTAGAAGCGAAGTGTGTGTGAGTGAAAAGGAAAGCTGGCAGTCGTTAACAGCTGCTGGCCAAGCTCTGGCTGTGATATGGGGGTGTGTGTACGTGCTTTGTTAATGTGTGTGATAGACCTTCACGAGAAGAGTGGCTCAGGGTGAGAGTGAGACAGGGCTTTGATTCCCATGCACATGGCCCCACTTCACAGAAACACGGTGGAGCGGCCATCCTGATGTGGCAGGTGGAAAACACCACCCCTGCTGCTGGCCACCCCTGGCCAGGCCTTGGTTCTGAGGGCCGCAACCTTATCTGATCAGCTCTGATGGCACTCCCTGGCCCCTGTGTTGGCACGGAGGCAGGCTCGTTCCTGGCTACCAGACTACAAGGTCATTGTGACCTAAATCCTGCTGTCTTCCTGGGCATTTTTTTGTTTATTTGTTTGCTTACTTTTAGGTAGTCCAAAGAACCTGTTGCCTTACCCCACCCACTGCCACCCCTGCAGACTGTGTGTGTTCTGTGTAGGTGAATGCACAAGCTAAGAGCCAGAGGGGGAAACCCCTTTGCTATGTGCTGCTCCATGGCTGTGGAAGGCAGGGTAGTGAGGCGTAGGGCGGGAGGGTAGTGAGCCAGGACTCTAGGGAAAGGCCTGGCGCCCCAGGGGGACCCAATGCAAGTGTTGGAATTGACCTAGGATTCCTGTCTCCTTCACAGTTGGAGGCCCCCCTCCCCACAAGTGCCTCTTTGTACCACACCGGCCTCCACCCCGCGCTCACTGGTCCCACCACACGCAACAGACCATGGCGGGTCGGGGAGGCGCAGCGCGACCCAATGGACCAGCCGCCGGAAACAAGATCTGTCAGTTTAAGTTGGTCCTGCTGGGGGAGTCTGCAGTGGGCAAGTCCAGCCTTGTCCTCCGCTTCGTCAAGGGGCAATTTCACGAGTACCAAGAGAGCACAATTGGAGGTGAGTGGGCACATGGGAACTAGGGGCCCTCAGGGCAAAATCTGGGTCCTGAGAAGCCAGGGATGGTGAGGGGGAAGGGGACTCTTTCCCAGAGGGCATCATGGCAACTCTTTTCCCTGGACAGGGTGTTAAGCCAGAATCAGACACAGGCTGCCTGTGCTGCCTCTGCCCACATTACCTGCCGGGCATCGGGAGAGACGGGCTCTACTTCCCCCGGGGCGCGTCTTGCTTTCTTGGGCACACCGCGTGCTTGGCTGGGGAGGGGTGTGGGGAACCACAGCTGGACTGTGGCTTGTGTGTCTGAAGCTGACTTTCACCCGTTCTGGAGTTCCAAGTATGTCCTTGACCCCGCCATGGTCAGCATTTAGGATGTGAGTAAAGATCTCAGTTGCCTCCTTCCTCAGCTGCCAGCACAGACCTCGCCAGGCCAAGACCCACGTTGCCATTGAGTCATCCTTTCTCGACCCTCTTGGTTGGCAGGAGCTGTGCAGGCAGCTGGAAATGAAATGGGCCATGTCAGCACTCTCCCTACTGGAGAGGGGAAGTGAGTGACACCCAGGCCTTTGTCGCTGGGGGAGGGCAGCCCCGGAAAGTGGCTCTCTCCCTGCTGGGCCCCTCTGTCCCAGCGGGGGACCCTGGGTGTAAAGCATCCACATGCATGGGCAGTGAACCACAGGTGGCCACACAGGAATGGGTCTGTGCAGAGGTGGCAGGTGGGAGGACAGCGCTGCTTGCGAAGGCAGCCACCAGCCTGCCTCTACCTGGCTTACGGCGAGTGCCTCCCAGGCGGCAGAGCTGAGCGCCTGAGTGTCCTCAGGAAACCAAAGGACAGTGAGGCCCCTGGGCTAGGGTGGCTGTCCAGCTGGGCTGCCCTCTCTGAGTAGAGAACAAGGCTAAGAGGCAGCTTTCCCTGGGCCCTCCATGTCTGCTGCGTGCACCTGCCCTGCCTCAGGGGGGCCTGTGAAGGCTGTGAGGGGACTACTCACAGACACGCGGGAACTGCCAGAAGTTCAATGACAGTGGAATTAAATGTGAGTTTATCTTGTGCAGTTTTTTTCATGATAGGTAGAAATTGTATATTATGAAAAAGCATGTGTAAGTTTCAGTATTTTTTGGACAAAAATAAACTCACCCTTTTTTTTTCTCTCTCTAAAAATTTACTTATTTTTGTGGAAAGCAGAGTCACAGAAAGAGAGACGCAGAAAGATCTTCCTGTCCATTGAGTCACTCCCCAAATAGCTGGAACAGCTGGAGCTGAGCTGATCCAAAGTCAGGAGGCAGGGACCTCTTCCAGGTCTCCCACAAAGGTGTGGGGTCCCAAGGCCTTTGGCCACCCTCCACTGCTTTCCCAGGCCACAAGCAAGGAGCTGGATGGGAAGTGGAGCAAGACCTGGCACAAAGGCTCAGTGGCTAAATCCTACTTTTTTTTTTAAAGATTTATCTTTATTATTTTTTTTATTGGAAAGGCAGATATACAGAGAGGAGAGACAGAGGGGAAGATCTTCCATCCAATGATTAACTCCCCAAGTGAGCGCAGCGGCCGATGCTATGCTGATCTGAAGCCAGGGGCCTCTTCCGGGTCTCCCACGCGGGTGCAGGGTCCCAAAGCTTTGGGCCGTCCTCGACTGCTTTCCCGGGCCTCAGGCAGGGAGCTGGAAGGGAAGTGGGGCCGCTGGGATAGAACCGGCGCCCATATAGGATCCTGGGCGTGCAAGGTGAGGACCTTAACCACTGCGCCACCGTGCCGGGCCCATGCTAAATCCTACTTTTACATGTGCCAGCGAACAGTATGGGTACTAGTTCATGTCCTGGCTACTCCACTTCTGATCTAGCTCATTGCTTGTAGTCTTGTGGGAAAGCGGTAGAGGATGGTCCAAAGCCTTGAGGCTCTCGATCCGCGTGGGAAAGCTGGAAGAAGCTCTTGACTTTAAATCAGCTCAGCTCCAACCATTGTGGCCATTTGGGGAATGAACCAGTGGATGAAAGATCTTTCTCTCTCGCTTTCTCTCCATAAATCTGATCTAGCTTCCCAATAAAAATAAATAAGTATTGGGAAAAAAAAACAAAACAAAGAAAGTGGAATGGCCAGTACTTAAATTTGTGCCAGTGTGGGTTGCCAGCCTCCACAGGTGGAAGCGTAGCGTGCTATGCCACTGAACTATGCGTCAGCCCTACTCTCACACTTTTAATCCATTTTTTCCATGAGCTTTTTGGTTTGAAAAGTAGAGACACAAAAATCTCCTGTTCTGATTTACACCCTGAGTACCCACAACAGCAGGGCATGGACCGGGCAGAAGCGAAGTGCTAAAAACCCAACCCTAGCCTACCATGTGGTGACAGGGACCCAACTGCTTGAGCTGTCTCTTCCTGCCTCCCAGGGTACACATCAGCAGAGGGCTGGGATCAAGAGCTGAGAGGGAGGCTGGATGCCAAGCCAGGTGCCCCTGTGTGGGAGGGATGTTGGCATCCCGAGTGGTCTCTGCGCTGAGGCCAGAGGCCAGCCCCTCCGGGAACTGCCTGCTGTGCCCTCGGCTCTACCCCTTGAGCCTACGGGTAGGGCTTTCTCCTGCTTGGTGCCCAGTGTCCAGTGCCCAGGCGGAGCCCAGAGCAGCAGTACAGACCCAGGGTGGTTTCCAACCTGTCCTCGCCTGGTGACACGCCTTCTTCCCTCCAGCGGCCTTTCTCACACAGACCGTCTGCTTGGACGACACGACGGTGAAGTTCGAGATCTGGGACACAGCCGGCCAGGAGCGGTATCACAGCCTCGCCCCAATGTACTACCGGGGGGCCCAGGCTGCCATTGTGGTATATGACATCACCAACACAGTAAGCACCTTCTCCCCTCACCCTTCCTCTTTCTCGTCTCAGAGCCCTGAAAAGGAGGACACCAGAGTCCCCGTTTCAGGCATCTTGGACCATCCCTAGGTGGGATATGGGATGTGGGCATGCATTCTCTGATGTTTGGGGCCATTTCCGCAGCATGCTATTTTTATATAGCCCCATCTTGAATACTGGGTGGGGCCCACTGGGCTCTCCCCCTGACTTTCTGGTCATGTCTCCTCAGGACACATTTGCACGGGCCAAGAACTGGGTGAAAGAGTTACAGAGGCAGGCCAGCCCCAATATCGTCATTGCACTCGCAGGCAACAAGGCAGACCTGGCCAGCAAGAGAGCCGTGGAGTTCCAGGTAGGGAGCCCCCCATCCCCACCTCCGGCTGTGGCTCCCACGAGGGGCCTCTGGGAGGCCATGGGAGGAGGCAGCAGGGAGCTTTCCTGCACTGAACATGGCACCAGCATGGGCCTAAGAAGGACTGTCTGTCGCCCATGTCTCCCTTCAGGAGCTTTGGCATGTGAGTGTGTGTATTTTTGAGACAGTGAGTACAAGCATTGTTAGGTGCATTTATTTGATTTTTAATTAGAGACTTATTGAAAAAGGAGTATTTTTTTAAAGGATGGTTTGTTTACTTGAAAGAGTGACAGAGAGAGTGTAATACTAAATTAACTGGCTGTCTCCCCAAATGCCTGTAACAGCCGGGGCCAGGCAAGGTGAAAGCCCGGGGTCTGGAACTCTGTTAGGGTCTCCCTCATGGATGCTGGGGACCAACTCCTTGGGCCACCATCTTCAGCCTTCCGGGTACACTTGCAGGGACTGGCAGGAATCCAATAACTGGGATTTAAGTAGCCCTCCAGCACAGGATGCCAGCCTCACACACAGCAGTTTAACCCAGCACACTATGACACCCACTGGAATACACTTTCCTTTTCTTTTTAATACTTATTCCCGTCAGTAAGGCAAATTTCCAGAAAGAAGGAAAAACAGAAAGATCTTCTGTTCCCCAAGTGGCTGGCGCTGAGCCAATCTAAAGCCAGGAGCTTCTTCCAGGTCTTCCACATAGGTACAAGATCCCAAGGCATTAGGCCATTCTCTGCTGCTTTCCCAGGCCATAAGCAGGAGGCTGGATGAGAAGTGGAGCCTCTGGGACACGAACCAGCACCCATATGGGATGCCGGTGCTGCAAGTCAGAGGATTGGCCAGTTGAGCTATTGCGTCAGCCCCAGGGGTACATTTTTCATATAATATATGCACATAGTAAAATCTCAGCGGTGCAAAGAAGATGACACTCAAGTTTGCTCCAGTCCCAGAAGCTCAGTCAGTCGCCGTCTCCCTTACTGTGACACAGTTTCCTGTCTTGGCGATAGCCTATGTTCTATGTGACTCCTCTCCACACTGACGGGTGTGTGCTATGCACTCTGTGTTGTCATTTGTTTTTTTGCCCATCCATAATTGAAGGGCTTCTGGGTGATTTGTAGCAGCAGAAGAGCAGAGATGGTGCCGTAGTCACTCATGTGTCCTCCTGTGCCTGTGTTCAGATGGGCTGCTGTGTTTTCAGGATCACTTTCTAGGAGTAGTTCTTAACCTAGTGATTAAAAAAAAAAAAAAGGTTTATTTGTGGCAAAGTGGCAAGGAACAGAGAGAAAGCTTCCATCCACTGGTTCAATCCCCAGCTGGCTGTAGGCCAAAGCCAGGAGCTAGGGGCTCTATCTGGGTTTCCCTGGGGGAGGAAAGTGGGAGGAGTGCACTCTGTCCATCTTGCTCTGGTTTTCTCAGGCCAGGGCTGGGCAGAGAACTGGATCAGAAATGGAGCAGCTAGGACACCGGATGGTGCCTCACAGGCAGAGGCATTTCTGGAACACTGCTCTGCAGTGCCAGCAGTGCCAGCCCCAACCTGGTGATGTTGAAGCGCGAAAGAGCAGAGTGAACCTAGGGAAGCCCTAGTAAGACATGCCAGTGTGTGTGAGCAGAGAGGTGCCCAGAGGTGGCATAGGTGTCTTGGGATCCTGGACAGGGTGTCATAGGCCTGGCAGCCTCAGTTCTACCAGTCTCTAGTGGGCCTAACGCACTGGGCACCAAGGAGATTGTTATCCAAAGCCCAGCCCCTGCCAGCTGCAGACATTTCCCTCTCACTCCCTTCCTCATCTCCATCCAAATCAGGACGCACAAGCCTATGCAGACGACAACAGTTTGCTGTTCATGGAGACCTCAGCAAAGACTGCAATTAACGTGAATGAAATTTTCATGGCAATAGGTGAGTGGCCCTCCTGCCTCCGCGCACCACTCCACCACCGCAGGCACATAGTTGTGGGTTGGGGTAGGCTGGGGCTCCCATGGCATTTTTTTTTAAAGACTTCTTTTTATTGCAAATCAATTATAGAGAGAGGAGGAGAGACAGAGAAATATCTTCCATCCGATGATTCACTCCCCAAACGACTGCAATGGCCAGTGTCATGCCGGTCTGAAGCCAGGAGCCAGGAGCTCTTCCAGGTCTCCCACGCGGGTGCAGGGTCTCAAGGCTTTGGGCTATCCTGGACTGCTTTCCCAGGCCACAAGCAGGGAGCTGAATGGGAAGCAGGGCTGCCATGATTAGAACTGGCACCCACATGGGATCCTGAGGCGTTCAAGGCGAGGACTTTATTTATTTTTTTTTAAGATTTATTTTATTTTTATTACAAAGTCAGATATACAGAGAGGAGGAGAGGTAGAGAGAAAGATCTTCCGTCCAGTGATTCACTCCCAAAGTGAGTGCAACAGCCGGGACCCAAGTGCTGTATCCAGCACACCTGTTGCGTCCCAAGATACATGCTTTTAGGAAGCTGAGGTCAGGGGTGGAGCTGGGACTTGAACTGAAATTGTCCAGAACTGGGCTCAGGCATTCTAGGCACTGATTAAACCAATACTAGTCCAGACCCCCTACTTCTGGATTATTTCACCTATTTCCCAGAATTCCAAGACTGTACCTTGCACACCGAAGCCCTCAGGGTCTCACCTCAGATGGGTGGTGAAGGCTGCATTGGGCTACAGCAGGACTGGGGGCGGGGACTGCAAGACTCCACACAGGCATCTCCCCTTCCTTTCGCGAACAGCCAAGAAGCTTCCCAAGAACGAGCCCCAGAATGCAGCTGGTGCTCCAGGCCGGAACCGGGGTGTGGACCTCCAGGAGAACAACCCAGCCAGCCGGAGCCAGTGCTGCAGCAACTGAGCCCTCTGCCTGCCCACTGCTCCCGCCTCCTCCGCCTGGATGACCCGACTGGAATCCACTCTAACCAATCGCACTTAACGCTTCGGGCCGCTGGGGGCAGGGAGAGGCTCCACCATGATTTCTCTATGTAACTTTGATCATAGGCCGGAGTGAGCTATTCCACCCGCACCTTTCTGTACAAATACTAATTCAATTTTAAGTCTTAAGTCACTTTTTTAATATATATGATCTGCTCTTCCCACTTCCTCCCCTCTCTGCTGGTCTCCCACTTGTCCTTTGCTGGGAGTAGCCATGTGCTCCCGGACCCCGCCCTTGTCCAAGGGCACAGGGACGAGGGGTTGGAGTGGTTTCCCTTCCTTTCCCTCCCGTCCAGCAGCCGACTCCACAGGAGCATCCACGCCCTCCCCTCATGTGGAGCCGTCTCCCTTGGCTGGGGGCAGTGGGGCAAGCCTCGGGACAGGGGACGGAATGGCAGCTCCTCCCTGCGTAGTGGCTGGCCTCAGGCCCCTGGCGCCCCACTCGGGGAGACCCCGCAGCATTACCACAGCATTACCGTGACAGCCACGAGCCCATTGCCCATGACCCCTCCACCCTCGGTCACCCCAACCTCTGGCTCTGAGCCCGGTTCCGACCAAATCACGATGATGAGTATTTGGGGGTGGGTGGGAGAGGGGGGGAGCGGGAGGGGATGGAACCAACTTTTTCTGTATTTTGTATTGTATGTTTTCTTCAACATGTAACCAATCAGTATCTTGTCAATATAGTCAGCCGATCAGTGGACCTCACGCTTGTCTTTTCTCTCTGGAGTTTATCAGATATTCCTGACATGATGTTCCTTTCAGCTGAGCCCAAGTTTTGTTAACAACAGTTGCCCCCACTATGCCAGGGAGCTGGGTCATGATCACCAAGAGAAAGGTGGTGCTATTGGCAGCTCCAGGGTGTGGGGTGGGGGAGGCTGCCCAAGACGCTACAGTTGAGGTTCCTTACTGGCTTGTCCACCACCCCTGACTCCCTGCCCTCCCCAGATTGTGGGCTGTATCAGTGGTCTCTATTGCTGTGTCTGTCTACAGCGCCTGCCTCCACTTAGCACCTGTCCTCAGGGCCTTCGCTCCACAGCCTCCCAACTGTCCCTCCTGGCCCCCAGCATGCCCAGCCCTCTGCTGCCCCCTGCTGGAGCTGCTGGAGCTGCTCTGCGGCCCGGCCACAGTGGCCAGCTTCTCCGTGGCCCTCCGGGTTCCTTTCCTGTCCTCTCTACCTCTGTCCCCATTCCCAGAGATGACAACAGTGACAAGGAAGGCTGCTGCACTTGGTGGTGGTTTACTAGATCAGGCTAAGTTGGGACCCTTCTTAGGGCTGTGGCCCCGGAGTCTTGGCGGGGACGGACCTGCTTGGGTGTCAAGGGGAGGCAGTGACCCGCACTGGCCTCGGACCCACAGCTGGCCGGAGGGGGTCAGGCAGCAGGTCATGGCTGCGGGATCCAGGTCCCGCGGTAGCTGCATTTGCCGCTGCACCTTCTGCTCCATGCGGTAACCGCCCATGGCTGGGTTGCCATACTCCCGCTGCCGCTGGCCCGTCACCATCAGGTTCTGGCCGGTCACCTGCACCACCAGCTCCTCAGGGGCGAAGCCCTGCGCGTCCATCTTCATTTGAAAATTGTCTTCAGCCCGGCCATGGTCCTGCACAGCAGCCGGGTTGTCCCTCAGCAGCTGCACCGGCAGTGTGGCCACCTGGCTCCGTCCAGCGAGGGCTACGCTGGGGCTCCTGGATGTCGCCCGGCTCCCGTTGGACAAACTGCTGCTGACCCGCTGCATCCAAGAGAGCAACTGCTGACCGGGGGCTCGAGGCTCCAAGCTGGGGCACGCGTGTGGGTTCTCGGGGGGGAGGGGGGGTGTCCTCCTGAGCGCAGCTCACCCCGCCCCATGCACTGGTCCCCTTTGACTTCCGTCACTTTCGGGCGGCCCTGGCGCACCCTCTTCTATTCCCAGCACCTGGCCCTGCCTTTCACACTCTTCTCCCAGTCGACACGAGGTACACAAAATGGAACAGGTGCATTACCCGGAGTGAACATCCCAGGCATCCACCATGTCCCGGGGCAGTCCCAGCTTCCACAAGGCTTCCCCTGCGTGGCTGCAGCCCCACTTCTGGGCCGCGTGGACCGGGGCCTCGGCGCCCGTGGGGGTGGGGTGGCAGGGGCTGCGCACAGCCCCCCCCAAACGGGCGCCTATTTCCTAGGATGCTCCTCGTCCCCAAGAACGCAACAACCGTTAACGTTCTCGGATGCTTTCCAGAGAAATTGGAAGGGACGAAGCGCGGTCTAGCATCCCCCTGCGCCCTCAGCTGTCCAGCAGCAAGACACAGGACGGAAAAGTCTGGAAGCCGCAGTCTTGGGGCGCGGCGGAGGACGACTACAACTCCCATCGTGCATCGGCAGGCGGCGTCTGCGCACTGCGCGCCGGTTGCCCATGCGGCCCTAGGGCTGGGAGCGCGGCGCCGCTCCGCTGCGGGGAAGGCCATGGCGGAACCCTCCCAGGCCCCGGCCCCGGTTCCGACCGCGCAGCCCCGGCCCCTTCAGTCCGCAGCCCCTACTCCAGCTCCGACTCCTGCGCCCAGCCCCGCTTCAGCCCCGACCCCGGCTCCCACGCCGGCACCAGCCGCTGCCCCAGTTGCAGCGCCGGCCGGGAGCACAGGGACTGGAGGGCCCGGAGTAGGAAGTGGGGGAACCGGGAGTGGGGGGGATCCGGCGCGACCTGGCCTGAGCCAGCAGCAGCGTGCCAGCCAGAGGAAGGCGCAGGTCCGGGGACTCCCGCGCGCCAAGAAGCTTGAGAAGCTAGGGGTCTTCTCTGCTTGCAAGGTGGGGGCGGGGCCTACGGTGAAAGGGGCGGGGCCCGGGGGCATCCCTGGGCTTGGGTGGGAGTGGGGGAGCGATACATTGGAGGCTGAGCAACTCCTGTCCCTGGGGTGCAGCGCCGGTTGACTTGGTCTCTTGCCTCCAGGCCAATGAAACCTGCAAATGTAATGGCTGGAAAAACCCCAAGCCCCCCACTGCTCCCCGCATGGACCTCCAGCAGCCGGCAGCTAACCTGGGCGAACTGTGCCGCAGCTGTGAGCACCCCTTGGGTAAGGCAGGTTGCCCCAGGAAGTCAGCTCTGGGAAATCAGGGCAACTCCTAGGGAGGCATGCGGTAGGGGGTCAGGTGCACCCTGATGAGGAAAGGAAGTCGTGTCAATTTCCCCTGTCCCTTCTTCCCAACCCTGCTGGCTGCCCCCCTGCAGCCGACCACGTGTCGCACCTGGAGAACGTGTCCGAAGATGAGGTGAACCGGCTGCTGGGCATGGTGGTGGACGTGGAGAACCTGTTCATGTCCGTTCACAAGGAGGAAGACACGGACACCAAGCAGGTCTATTTCTACCTCTTCAAGGTGAGGGTCCGCGCCGGCCAGCGGGGATGAGCGGCTGAGGTGTAGTGGGGAGGGTCCCTGCGCTGAGTCCTGAAGTTCTTCCCCCGCTTTCTTCCGCCAGCTACTGCGCAAGTGTATCCTGCAGATGACCCGGCCCGTGGTGGAGGGGTCCCTGGGCAGCCCCCCGTTTGAGAAGCCTAATATTGAGCAGGTGTGTGATGGGGGGAGGATGGTGAGCAGAGCAGAACTGGGGGTCACTGCAGGGAAGGGACGGTGCTGTGTCCTCCCTCCTACTCTGGCTGAGAGTAGTGGGTGGGACAGGGCAGGGGGCGCTGCACAGAGAGAGGGGCACCCCGTGGTCTCCCAGCTGAAAAAGCTGACTGCATACCCCTCACTGCCGGCTCGCCCCCACCTGCCCCTTCCCAGGGGGTGCTGAACTTCGTGCAGTACAAGTTTAGTCACCTGGCGCCCCGGGAGCGGCAGACCATGTTCGAACTCTCCAAGATGTTCCTGCTTTGCCTTAACTACTGGAAGCTGGAGACGCCCGCTCAGTTCCGGCAAAGGTCCCAGTCAGAGGATGTGGCGACATACAAGGTCAACTACACCAGGTAGGCCTAGTGGGGGTGAAGGTGTGGGGGGGTCGAGTTTGGAAACCCCATGAGGATTCAGTGGTTCCCACCGTCGTCCCCTGAACCCCAGATGGCTGTGTTACTGCCACGTGCCCCAGAGCTGCGACAGCCTCCCTCGCTACGAGACCACACACGTCTTTGGGCGGAGCCTGCTCCGTTCCATTTTCACGGTGACCCGGCGGCAGCTGCTGGAGAAGTTCCGGGTGGAGAAGGACAAGCTGGTGCCAGAGAAAAGGACCCTCATCCTCACACACTTCCCCAAGTAAGGCTCCTTCCTGCCCCTGGGGACCGCATTCCAGGTTCATTGTCCTCGCTGTTGTCCCCTTTCTTCCAGGAAACCTTCCTGGATCGGTCCCTCTTCTCCCTCCAGGGGCCTTCTGGGATATGGGCATCTACCTGGCAGACTCGCCCATGGTCCAGAAGCAGCTTGCTAGTATTTGCCTAGTCTGGGGATGGCAGGTACATGGCCTCGGCTAATGCTGCCCCTTCCGCACCCTGGTACACGATGCTAATTGTTTCCTCCGGGGGGCCTGGACCCAACCCCAGAGAAGTTCCTTCCCAGCACAGCACTCCAAGGAACCAGAGCTGACACCCGAGGTGACACATCTCTACCCCTGTTCCAGTCCTCTACACACACACACACACACACACACACACCGGCTCATCACCTCTGCACAGAGCCCCGGGTGCCCCCACTCCTCTCCGCCAGGTGGGATCCAGAGGTGGAGGGCGGGGTAGGTCCCCAGCACACTTTGCTGCTGCAGGGAGCAAGGGGCCCTGGGCTGACTGTCCGCTCAGGCCCTGGCTCCCTGTGGTGCCCACACTGGCAAAACTGGTGGTCTCCATGTGTCCATGAGAGCCTCCCAGAAGCCAGAGGGGGGTCTGTGACCACGGCATGCCTCCGGCCTCCCCCCACACTCCCAGGGGCCTGGCTCAGGCTCCCCTGGCCTGGGGGGCGGGGCAGGTGGAGTCATGGACCATCACACCCTCCCTGCAGATTCCTGTCCATGCTGGAAGAAGAGATATACGGGGCAAACTCTCCCATCTGGGAGTCAGGCTTCACCATGCCACCCTCAGAGGGCACACAGCTGGTGCCCCGGCCCGGTAGGTAGAACAGCAGCCTTCTCTGGCTGTGCTGAGCCTGGGGCTGGCAGGCATGGGAGAACACAGAAGATGGGGCTCAGCAGGGTGGGAGTCCTGGGTTGCCTTGAGGGACCTACCAACACCTGGCCTTCCCTCCCCGAACCCGGCCCTGGTTTCTCACTCAGCCACAGTCAGTGCCACCGCAGTGCCCAGCGCCCCCATCTTCAGCCCTGCCACGGGTGGGGGCAGCAACAGTTCCCTGAGTTTGGATTCTGCAGGAGCCGAGCCAATGCCAGGTGCGTGCCTCACCCCTGACCTCTGCTGCCTCTGTGCATCCTTGTGCCAGCTTGTCCCTGGGCAACCTTGCCAACCTAACCAGCAGGGGAGAAGAGGAAACTCCCAGAGAACCTGACCCTGGAGGACGCCAAGCGGCTCCGCGTGATGGGCGACATCCCCATGGAACTGGTCAACGAGGTCATGCTGACCATCACTGACCCTGCTGCCATGCTGGGGCCCGAGGTGGGCAACCAGCCCATCTGCCCACCAGCAAGTGAGGGAGGGCAGCCGGAGACCCTAGCTCACCACCCCCGTGTGTTCCCAGACGAGCCTACTGTCGGCCAACGCTGCCCGGGATGAGACGGCCCGCCTGGAGGAACGCCGCGGGATCATTGAGTTC